GCCCCAGACCCCGCCTCACCTTCAGTCCCCGCCGGCTGCTGCGGCCACCCTCAGTCCCCAACCACGCCCCCCGGCCGGGCCCTCTTCGCGCGGTCGGGCCCCGCGGGCCCTCGGCAGCCCAGGCCCTTGCAGCTCTTCGTCTCCGCTTTCAGCCCCCCGGCGTCCATACCTGGCTCCCAGCGCGTCCCCCGGGTCCCATCTCCACGCCCCCCACCGCGGCCTCGCGTGCGGGGAGGAGTCTGCGACCTCCACTTGCACCCCGCGACGGCGCGCACCCCTTCTCTTCCCGCGGGCCCTACCCGGCTCCTCCCTAGGAGGCTCTGAAAACCGCCCTCTTTGTCACACTTCTTTATTCGCATTTCCAAACGGTTTTGTCGTGGCTGTTTTCCTGAAATAGACCTCGCCCGAGACGCGGGCGCTCTGAGCGGGCACGGCAGCCTCCGATGCCGCGGTCCTGGGTTCAGCCTGGGTTCCCGAGTTTGCTGGGCCCAGCGGGTGCTGGAGGGGGAGGGTTCGGAAGGTGGCTGAGGCGTGTCCCAGTTCTAAGGAACCTGGGGCGCAGACACGCCTCCACAGCAGAGCCCCGCCCCCGGGCCTTTCTGCAGGTGCAGACGCAGTACCGACCCCTGCAGCCAGGGCTCCGACCAACTTCCCCTCTGTAAATGGGGGAGGGTGGATGAGGATAAAGTGAGACCATAGGGATAGCGCACATAGCAGGGGTTTTAATTGCAGCTGCTGCAGAGGCCAGTCCTCACTGGGAACACTGAGTGACAGTGGCTGATAGCCAAGGTTGAGCACTTCCAAACGGGGTGTGCAAGTGGTCGTCTGTGTGACGTTAATTCTCATCTTCATCTGAGGCAGGAGCGGTTACCCCTGATTTTCTCTGTAGCTTTTTATTTGTTCAGGATAGAAGGTGTGGGGGTGAGCACCTCAGAGTGAGAGAGGGGCACCGTCCACTGTCCTCCAGCCCGCTGGACCCCGGACGCGCACCTGCATCAGCCTGACCCGGCCGGGGATTGGAGCTGGCGGCTCTGTGCATTACTGGCGTGTCCCAGAGCCAGCCCTGTTATCCTCATTTTTACAGGTGGTGTGAGAAAAAGGCAGAGATGAAGAAAAAAGCAGGACACAAAGCTTTTAAATGGGGAGCTGTTTTCAGAGTTCATGGTTTTAGTCACTGCAGTAAGACTCCAGAGGCATAGAGTTTAACAAATTGGTGCTTTTTTTCAGTAGTTTTATTATTGTTGAGATAAAATTCACATAACATACAATTGACCATTTTAAAGTATATAACCCTGTAGTTTTTTTTTAAAGATTTATTTGTTTTTAGGTTTTTGCCATAGGGTGTGTCTGCTCACCAGAGGGAGAAAGTGAGAAATCAGTCCCCAAGGGGCATGGCCATGTTGCAGTCTCTTCTCTGTTCCCCTCTTGGGATTTTGGGCACGCACACACATGTGCCCAGCATGATTTTCAAGTCCAGGTCTGGGGCTCAGGTTGTGGTCTGCAGTGTAGGAGTCCAGCACCTTAACCACCACACCACCTGCTGGCCCCAAGCTCAGAGGTTTTGGGTATATTCTCAATATTATGCAACCATTGCTACTAGGTATTTGCAGAACATCTGTATCACCCCTAGCAGGAACAGCCCCAAAGCAGTCATTCCCCATTCCCCACTCCTCTGCTTCCCCGGCAACTAATCTCTGCCCTGGTTCATGGATTTGCCTGCTCTGGACCTTTCCTACAGATGGACTCATACCAGATACGGCCTTTTGTGTCTGGCTTCTTCCTCTTAGAGTGATGTCTTCAACTGTCATCCGTGTTGTAGGGTGTGTCAGAATGGCCTCCTCCTTTGTGGCTAAGTGTTGTCCCGTTGTGTGGGTAGACTGGTTTGCTCATTTATCTGTTGGGGGGCTTCGCATTGTTTCCCCCTTCCGGCTGTCGGGAGCGGGGCTGCTTTGGGCCACATGTGCGTACAAGTTGCCCGTTGCCTTGGGCCTGTGCGTAGGAGTGGGGCATTACAGGAATGGGGTAACGCCTGCTACGCACAGAGCCATGACACTGGCAGTATTGGATCCTGGATGAAGATCCAGGCTTCCAGATTCCAGGTTGCTTCGGTATCCCGGAAATTGGCAACCAAGGTAAGGACATTTCAGAAAGTCATGATACGCCGACAGCTGTCCAAGTGCTGACACGGACTTAGAGAAGCCTCTTACATTGTTTTCTCCCCAAGAATGAAATTTGAGCTTTGAACACAAAGCCGCATTTGATTCTTTTTATTAGATAAATATGACCACAGCATGCCAAGAACCGTGGAGGAATGTTAAAGATGTGAGAGATCCCAGCCTCGCTGCCACAGCCCTGCGGGCGTTTAAGACTTGGTTCATGAACCGCCTAGAAATACTTATCTTCCTGGCTGGGAGCTGAGGTAGATGAGAGAGTAGTGAGACCTTGGGAACAAAAGAGGAATTTCTGAAATCAAAACCAAACCATAGTGGCCAGAAGATGGTGTAATGGTTATGTCGCTGGACTCCCACGTTTTCGACCGCAGTTCACATCCCCAACCCAGTGGCCTAAAACTCATGCTGGGCACGTGTGCGTGTCTGCCCAAGATCCCAAGAGGAGAATGGAGGAGAAGGGATTGTGACATGGCCATTCCTCCTGGGGGGTGATTTCTTGCCTTCTATCGCTCTGTCTCTCTAGCGAGTGGATGCACCCTATGGCAAAAATCTCCCAACAACAACAACAAAAAAAAGTAAAAAGATTGATTTTTTTTTTTTTAAATGTGAAAAGCCATTCCTTGCATCCGAAGTACTCCAAACTAGTACCTAGAATACAGAAAGCATTCTTAGAGTTCTCAGGGGAAAAGAAGGCAGCATGGTAGAGAAAGGGGCAGGTATTTCACAGATGAGAAGCATCACACACAACACCCTACAAGAATTTCAGCCTTATTAGGATCAGGGAAACGAGTGGCAATTAAAGCCACAGTGAAGTAGACTTCACCACGGCCCCCCGCAGGAGGTGAACTGTAGGTGTCCCCACTGGTGACACGGACGAGGCAGTGGGAAGCTGCCGTGGCCTTGGCTGGGAGTTGGTTCTGTGGCTTTGGAAGGGCATTTGGTGCATCTGGTTGAATGCCGGTAGCCCAGCAGCTCGGCCCTGAGGCATGTCTCTGAGAATCTTGCACAGGGGTCCAGGAGTGGCGGACAGGAAGGCCGTCACAGTGCTGTCAGTAACTGTCGGGAACCCAGCAAAAGCAGCCACTGTCGACAGACCTGTGCACTTGGCAGGTTTAGGCCACGAGTTGCCGCAGGGCAGTGGGAGACAGCAGTGGGGGAGAGTGACCACAGCTGGCGGTTGTGGATCGGTCTTGAGGATGGTGTTGGGTGACGAGAACATGTCACCAAGGTGTACATGCCCAGTGGCTTTTAGTAAAGTTCAAAAGCAGGCAAAATGGGGTGACCCGAGGTTCGAACAGGGTGACATGGTTGGCCCTGGTTGGAATCTTGGCCCTGGGGCTTGGGTGCCCCAAATGCTATCAGCAAGGAGACCTGGAGGGAGGAGGGTTGCAGTATGACCACGGCCCTCAGAGGGCGCTTGCTCATCTTTCTCTCTCATTCTGGCACGTGCGCGCCCTCTGGCAGTTAGAGAAAACAGGCAGACTAAATGGTGCCCTCATGATTTCAGAATTCACACGGGGCACGCAGCTATTCGGAGGAAAACCTAGGTGAGTGGGGCCTCTGGGTGGTGGGAGGGGTTGGGGGGAACCTGATCAGGGAAGAAGCCCGTGGGGCTCTGAGACCCTTGTTTTGTTAAGTAGGTTGGTGGCTGAGCACATAGCTTGTTTTATTATATTCTGGTCTGAACTGCACATAGTAGGTTTTATACACTTCGATATCTATTTTTCAATTTTTAAAACATTATAGACAAATTATTTACACTTATTGTCAGAGGACACGTGCACTTGTGTAAGCACACAGGCACATTCCCCCCCCCCGCCCCCCGTGGGGTGAGGCCGTGGTCCCCCTGCAATCCTTTTTTCTCTGTTTATCTCTTCTTTAGAATTTTAGGCATGCACGCATGCCTGGTGTGTTTTTCAAGCCACCAGGACCAGGATTTGAACCATGGTTGGCTGTGTGGGATCAGGCTCCCAGTGCACAGTGTTCACCACTGTGCTGTGGGGGCTGACTTCCAAAATGTGTTTTTGGTACATCCTCAGCCCTCTAGAGGCCTGTACTCCAGTCACGGAATTAAGACAGACACGTGAACACTCTGTAGAGCTCAGACAGTGTGGGTAAGTCTGCACTGGGAGAGGGTGGAGGAGCAGAGGGAAGGACCGGTGGCTCGTCCCCAGGGCAGGTGCCAGGATTGGCAGAGAAGAAGGGGCAGACCTGAACTGGTCCTGTGGGTAGGTTGGATTTGGAGTACTGAGTGCAAGACAGAGTCAGACTGAGAAAAGTGAGGTTTCTGAGAAGAAAACTTTGAGTGCAGACATCTGTAACCCCAGAGCCGTACTGAGAAGTTGGAGGACACCAGGTGCCCACGAAGCCAGTGAGGTGGCCTTCAGGCCTGAGCACACGATCACGGATCACGGGCCTTCTGAGGAAGCCGAGGTTCCTGAATGTGCTGACGGCCATGACTTAAGGACGTTACCTGCTTTTCTACTTGGCCCTTTACTGCTTTCATGGCTAGACTGACCGAGTCTGTCCACTCTCCGTCCAGCCAGCCAGCCATTACCTTCACCGTATTTCCCGTGGCTGCTGTAACAGGTTTCCACGGAGGTGGTGGCTCAGCCCACACAGAGTTACGGTCATACAGCCGAGTCCAGAAGCTTCACACCCGCCTCACTGGGCTACATCAGGGCAGGCGAGGTGTTTTCCTCTGGACACGCCAGGAAGACCCTCTTCGACGTCTTCACCAGCATCTGGCGGATGGGGACCTCATCTTCATCCCCAAGTGCAGCAGCTGAGCATGTTCAGGTTGTGCCCCTGACTTCTGTGGCTCTGGTCATGTCACTTCCATCTCTGATCTCCCTACCACCTCTTAGGACACATCTGATTGCGTTGGGCCTGTCTGGATGATCCAGGGAGATCTCCCCACCTCGCGGTCTTTAATTGAATCTCATCCACGTCGCTTTGCCACGTAAGGTGACATTTGTGGGAGGGGTAGGATATGTGTCTCTCCGGAGGCCGGCATCAGCCAGTTGCACTGTGCAATTGTTTGGTGGTCCCCCATCTCACTTCTTTTGTTTCTTTAAAAACACTTTGGCCAATCTGTTTCTTGTTCTTTGACCGTCCACTCCGGTCTCCTTCATGTGGCTAGTTTAGCGACGTATGTTTTAGCAAAGACTTTCCTTCCAGAACTCTTATTTAAAGGCTTTTGTCTTTGGTGTAATGGCCTTTCCATGCTAAATCGAGCTAGCTGACTTGAGAGCAGGACCACGCTCCTGGCCACAGCAGCGCTCCTTGGAAGAGGTCACTTTGTCCTCTGCAGTTTTGGTCGTAATTTTCCCACGACGCTTCTGTTGTTGTAATGTTTCTTTTAGTTTTGGATGAAGAGGTAATATCTTTGTCTTGTAAAACTTGAAGATGCCTAAAACACAATAGGGAGTTGATCTTCTAGTTTGGGGCATTTCTAGTTTGGTTTTGTCCTCATGCTATCCCCTGGGGGTTAGGAGTCAGCCCCTGATTGGGCGGGTGAGTGGACAGACGGTCGGCCTTGTCGTTGCCTAATGCCGACAGGCAGCCCCCAGAATATTGTGCCGCTTGGTGTCTGTACAAGTCTTGGTGGCTTCTGGACGTATGTGTGTAGGTGCCTTTAGGGCTGTGTTCAGTGCACACCGTGAGCTTTGGGAATGGAATGGCCTTTGGGAAAGTACTGATGTCTTTCCTGAGAAAGGCTTTATTTCCCACGATGTCCACGGGCCTGGGAAAGGACTGATCATCCTTTAGTTTTCCTTTCGTGGTCTATCAAGTACAGACACGTGAAAGGTCTCATGCGTCTGAGGAGCACGAGGGGCCCTGGGCCCTGTGTGCTTAGTCCATCCTCTGCCATTGCTGGCGGGAATGGCCAGGGCTCTGAACCCAGCCGGTGCCTTTAGGGCTGTGTTCAGTGCACACCGTGAGCTTTGGGAATGGAATGGCCTTTGGGAAAGTACTGATGTCTTTCCTGAGAAAGGCTTTATTTCCCACGATGTCCACGGGCCTGGGAAAGGACTGATCATCCTTTAGTTTTCCTTTCGTGGTCTATCAAGTACAGACACGTGAAAGGTCTCATGCGTCTGAGGAGCACGAGGGGCCCTGGGCCCTGTGTGCTTAGTCCATCCTCTGCCATTGCTGGCGGGAATGGCCAGGGCTCTGTACCCAGCCTCCACCGCTGCCAGTTGCCTTCCAGAGCCGACCCACCAGCTCCCTCCTTGGTACTCAGGAGTAAGGCCCAACTCGAGGTCAGCATAGAGGTGGTCACCGCCTGCCCCCTGCCCCTCCCACACGACGCATGCTGTAGCACATTGATTTTGTCACACTGCCTGAGCAGGCCAGGCCTTGACAGTGCCAGACCTTTCTACCTGTGGCCTTGCCTGGACCGTCCTTTCTTTCCCCCTGGCTGAGGGGGTGGGTCTTACTCATACTCAGGACCTACTGACCTCCTCCACCACCTTGACTGCACTTGCTCGCTTTGTCTTTCTGTGCACGAGGGGTACGCAGGCTGGCCGGAATGTTCGTTTATTCACGTGATGTGACCAGCCAAATAAACCCAGCCTCCGACCCTGGGTTATGTCCTTCATGGCTGTTCTGACAGTTTGGTTTTCCATCCAGAGTCTTTCCTACAGGAGATACCACTGGCAGTGGCCACACGTCGAGGCTTCTTGGCCATGCTGTTCATAAGTAAGTTGGTGTCTGAGTGTATTGGTCTTCTGTGAGTTTGCCTGAGCTGCCTCTGGGGATGACGGAATTGCATTTCTGTCTAGGGCCATATGGGGGGCCTGGGTTCCATTTTCACTCCTGCCTAAACTCCAGGCATGGTAGTGCACGCTGTAACCCCCTGCTCTGGAGACTGAGGTAGGAGGATGGGGACACAGTACATCCTGTTTTTAAAAACAACTTGGACCCTGGCTGAAGACTGCAGCCTATGGGGATGCTACACAGTGGACCCATCCTAGTGCAGGGTGTGAGGGGGAGTGCACAGGGGGCGAGCGTTCCTTTCTGTCCTCCTCCAGAAGCATCTGGCCTGGCCACAGCTAAGGGTGGCCCCAACACTGCAGGGTGCCCTGTCTCCCTGCCACGCTGATTAGCCAAGTGCTAGATTCCTGCACTCGGGGTCACCAGTGGTACCTCTGCAAGGAACTGGGAAGGGATGTCAAGGCAGGCTGCAGGAATGGGGAACGTCCAGTGGACGCTGCAGGTGGAGCTGGGGAAGGTGGTGCAGAGAGCGAGCGAGTGAGTGAGCAGAGAGAGAGCAAAAGAGAGCGAGGGAGCAGAGAGATAAAGAGCAAGTGAGCAGAGAGAGATAAAGAGCGAGTGAGTAGAGAGCGAACGAGCGAGTGAGCAGAGAGAGTGAAAGAGAGCGAGTGAGCAGAGAGCGAAAGAGCTAGCGAGCAGAGAGAGCAAAAGAGAGCGAGGGAGCAGAGAGATAAAGAGCAAGTGAGCAGAGAGAGATAAAGAGCGAGTGAGTAGAGAGCGAACGAGCGAGTGAGCAGAGAGAGTGAAAGAGAGCGAGTGAGCAGAGAGCGAAAGAGCTAGCGAGCAGAGAGAGCAAAAGAGAGCGAGGGAGCAGAGAGATAAAGAGCAAGTGAGCAGAGAGAGATAAAGAGCGAGTGAGTAGAGAGCGAACGAGCGAGTGAGCAGAGAGAGTGAAAGAGAGCGAGTGAGCAGAGAGCGAAAGAGCTAGCGAGCAGAGAGAGCAAAAGAGAGCGAGGGAGCAGAGAGATAAAGAGCAAGTGAGCAGAGAGAGATAAAGAGCGAGTGAGTAGAGAGCGAACGAGCGAGTGAGCAGAGAGAGTGAAAGAGAGCGAGTGAGCAGAGAGCGAAAGAGCTAGCGAGCAGAGAGAGCAAAAGAGAGCGAGGGAGCAGAGAGATAAAGAGCAAGTGAGCAGAGAGAGATAAAGAGCGAGTGAGTAGAGAGCGAACGAGCGAGTGAGCAGAGAGAGTGAAAGAGAGCGAGTGAGCAGAGAGCGAAAGAGCTAGCGAGCAGAGAGAGCAAAAGAGAGCGAGGGAGCAGAGAGATAAAGAGCAAGTGAGCAGAGAGAGATAAAGAGCGAGTGAGTAGAGAGCGAAAGAGCGAGTGAGCAGAGAGAGTGAAAGAGAGCGAGTGAGAGAGTGAAAGAGAGCGAGTGAGCAGAGAGAGAGCGAAAGATAGCGAGTGAGCAGGCTTGCATGAAAACACAGGCAGCCAGCAAGAGAGGGATGCTGGCTGCTGTTTTCCCAAAGGGCCTCTGGTGTCTTCACAAACTGTCATTTTTCTCTGAGTTCCTCTGAGTGGATTTCTGTCCCATTTGATAAAATGTTTCATAAGAAAAAGTCCAGGGAGGGGACCAGCAGTTGGTATAATGGCTGTGTCTCTGGACTCCCATGTAGCCGACCACGGTTCGAGTCCCAGACCCGGTAGCTTAAACTCCTGCCGGGCGCGTGTGCATATGTGCCTAAGATCCTGAGAGGAGAATGGAGGAGAAGGGATTGCGGCATGGCCATCCCCCCTGGGGGGTGATTTCTCACTTTCTTTTTCTCTGTCTCTGTCTTTCTGGCAAGTGCACGTGTCCTATAGCAAAATACAAACAAATAAACAAACAAAAAACCTCTCCAAAAAAAAAAAATTAAAAATTAAAAAAAAAAAAAAAGGAAAAAGTCCAGGGAGAGGGGAGTCTGCTCCAGTCGCACCTGGGAGAATAGGGGGCCCACCCCAGGCAGCCACTGTAGTCCTAGGAGCCGCTGCAGGGCCTCTTCATGGATTTGGGGATTGTGCATTCGTAAGTACTTTGTTTTCTGTGTAGAGATTGACGGCATGAAAATTTCCATGTGTTCTGTTTTTGAAAACTTTAATCTCGGGACCAGCAGTTAGCGTAATGGCTATGTCGCTGGACTCCCACCCACGTAGGCCACTGTGGTTCGACTCCTGGACCTGGTGGCTTAATCTCACACCGGGCACGTGTGCGTGTGTGCCCAAGATCCCGAGAGGAGAATGGAGGAGAAGGGATTGCGGCATGACCATCCCCCCTGGAGGGTGATTTCTTGTTTTCTGTCTCTCCGTCTCTCTCTGTCTGCCTGGCGAGCGCACACGCCCTATAGCAAAAACCTCTCCAAAAAAAAAAAAAAAAAAAGAAAACTTTAATCTTAGTTTAAGTAAAGTTTTCTGGGGAAAAAAGGAATTCATTTCCTGTTGGTTTTTGTTCACAGATCGGCCTTGGGAGGACAGCCCTGTGTTGCTGAAGGCCCGGTTGGGAGTGAGAAGGAAGGACCAAACCAAGGGTAGGTAACCCCAGAGTGGAGAGACCGGGGAGCACTTTTGTGGTCAGACTCCTCTTGTTGGGGTTTCACCTCCCAGATGTCCAGACTGTTGTGGGGGGAAAGAACACGGGGTGTCAGGAGGAGGTTCCCTTTTCAACCACTCGCTGCACCCAGCAGCCTCCTTTCCGGCTGGATCCTAACCCTGTACACCAAGTGTCGTTAATGTTCTCTCAGGTGGCCAGCAGGTGGCGTGGTGGTTATGGTGCTGGATCCCATGTGGCCAACTGTGGTTTAAGTCCTGGACCTGGTGGCTTGAAAAATCATGCTAGGCACATGTGCATGCATGCCCAAAATTCTGAGAGAAGGGCCATGACCACCCCCAGGGGGTGATTTCTCACTTTCCCTTTTCTGTCTTGCTCTGTCTGTCTCTGGCAAATGCATGCACCCTGTGGCAAAAAAAACTAAAAACAAATTTCCTTCAGTGCTCCTTTGGCTAAAACCCACAGATGTTGGTGTGTGTGTTATTTATTTGAGAACATTGCTTTATTTTGGGAGAGAGTTTTTTTAAATAATTATTTTATTTTATTTATTCATTCATTGTTTGTTTTTTTTTTTTAATTTGACCAGAGAGACAGAGGGTACGAGTGAGAGAGAGAGGAAATGAGAAAGCAAGCCACCAGATTCAGGACTCGAACCCTGCTCGGCCATGTGGGAGTGTCTAGCGCCTTAACCAACACGCCACCTGCTGGTCCTGAGAGAGAGATTTTTACTCTAGGGCATGTGCACTCGCAGAGAAACAGAAAGAGACAGAAAGTGAAAAATCATGTCCTGGAGGGATGGCCGTGCCACAATCCCTTCTCCATTCTCCTCTCAGGATTTTGGGCACACTCACACACTCCTGGCGTGAGGTTTTAGGCAGCCAGGTCTAGGACTCAAACTGCGGTCTACTACGTGGGAGTCCAGCAACATATCCATTATGCCATCTGCTGGTCCCTGAAAATATTGTTTTAACATCCTAGACATACGTGCACCTGCGATTAGAAGAATAGATGTAATTTCCAAATGACTAGGCTGAGTCATAGTTTTGCTATTTCTAATTTTTTGGCCTGTTGTTGCAACCACTGTGTGTTTGAGTGATAATTTTTGCATTTACTTTCCCACGGTCTGGTATTTGATTAGTTACTACAACATGCACCCTTTTAACAAAGTTGCTTCAGGAACTCCCGTGTTAGGTTGGTTTGACAAGGAATCTCAGGTTTTAATGTCCTTTCTTATAAGAAATGGTTGTCTTGGTCATTTCGTTGGGACTCTTGTAGTTATGACCATTTGGGGCCTGCAGCCAGTGCAGACACTGGGGTACCACGCCTGGCCCTGTGCATCCTGCCAGCCGCCTGCGTGAGCTGGGATTTAGCTGGTTTACTGCGGTGGCAGACGGGTCATGGAAGGTGCTGGGGGGCACGTCCCTGCTCGCGCACAGCTGAGAGGAGGAATACTTCTGAATGTCAGCAGGTTTGGGAGGGGAAGGGCTGGTGTTGCCTGCAGTGTGGGAGGTCGATTGGAAAAAGACCTCTTCAGGCCGAAGTCTGTGGAACTTGCTGCCTCACACATGGGGAGAGCTCGTACTGTGCGACATGAAGAACATTTCATCGTTTTAGTGTCATTCGGCTTAAGCACTTGATAAAGTTTGCAGTGTTTTCTTTTCACAATCAACTTTGGCATTCTTGTGGTAGGAGGTAAGTCTCTGTGAATGGAGCCCCACTGTATAGCATTTTGCCTGTAAGAAGTTAAGTGGCCCAATGCTTTTTAAATTGTTTTTAGGTATTTGTCATAGGGTGCGTACGTTCACCAGAGAGACAGAGACAGGGGAAGTAAGAAATCACTCCCAATGGGGGATGGCCATACCCCAGTCACTTCTCCATTCTTCTAGGATGTTCGAGTGTGATTTTCAAGCTACCAGAACCGGGACTCGAACTGTGGTTAGCCATGTGGAAGTCTAGCTTTTTAACCATCATGCCACCTGCTGGCCCCATGGCCCGAATTTGTATTTGAGAAAAACGTCCTGCCACATCAGCTTAGTTAGTAATGTGGAGGCGGTAGGAGACTTCCTGTTTGAGAGACTGTACCCTTGTGGTGGGGTGTTTAGGAACCTCACTGTGCATACCTCTCTTCAGTTTTCTGTCTTCTTTAGTATGTCTTGTTGGTCTGTCATTTGGACTACACATTCATACACACATGTACACATGAGAATTTCAAAAAGTTTATGAAAAAAGAAAGTAGATGGATTTTGGTGCAAAATATTTAGTTTATTTTTTATGATATGCATTTTTTCATGTACTTTCTGAAGACCCCCTCCCCAATAACCTTGGCTGTACCATTTGTCAATGTCTTTCTTGTCTCTGTTCCTTTCATTGGTTCATTTTTGCCCTGTTTAGTTCAAGCTCTTGCTGTGCATAACTTGAGCTCAAATTATATTGTGTTGGAGTGGGAGAGCACTCATTCATTCTTCCTTAACTTAGGCCAGTTTTTGTGGTTACTGTGGGTGTTTTCTTAGTCTCAGGGCTTTATTTTCCTCTTTTTATGGGATTTCTTTACTAGGGAACACTCCCAGACAGTTCATATTTCCTCTTTTCTTTGGCTTAAAATCAGCTTCCTCCTAGAATCTGAACTGCCTGTAATCTGGGCTACCTGTAATTTCATTGTAGTCGGCCTGGTGTCGTCGGTGGTTTGCCTCTGGTGGAAAGAGCCCGGTTGGACTGGACTGCAGTGGCACCCGGGTTAGTCTGGGACGCCGTCAGCTCCTGCGGCCCTCCTAGCAGGACCCTTTGTCTGCCTCTGTGTGTCATACAGCATCGTACGTGATTTTGTCACGTGTCTGCTCTTCACCGAGGCACAGCTACTTACTCACCTGTGAATCCTTAGCATTTTCACAGCACAGGAACACAGGAGGTGCCTAGTAAAGGCTGTTTGTGGGGACCTACCAGGGTCGTGCTGACCTTTTCATCCCTCAAAGCTCAAGGTCTGGGCAGTGAGAGTTAGAGATGAAGTTAGAAAGATAGGGAGGGCTGGGACCAGCAGTTAGCATAACGGCTATGTCGCTGAACTCCCATATAGCCGACCGCGGTTCGAGTCTCGGGCCCAGTGGCTTAAAACTCACGCTGGGCACATGTGCGTGCGTGCCCAAGATCCCAAGAGGAGAATGGAGGAGAAGGGATTGCGACGTGACCATCCCCCCTAGAGGGTGATTTCTTGCTTTCTATCTCTCTGTCTCTCTCTCTCTCTGGCGAGTGCACACGCCCTATAGCAAAACAAACAAACAAACAAACAAACAAAAAAACCTCTCCAAAAAAACAAAGATAGGAAGGGCTCAGAATTGCCATTTGAAAAAGCCTGTTCTTTCAAGTAAGGGATTATCTCTTTTTAAAAAACACACATTGTTCATTTCTGCTGACATTGTCAGAAACTCAGTTCTGCCGCTGCTGGGCTGTCTGCTGCCAGGGGCCGAGGCCGTGCCCGTGTCACCTGCGGCCTCTACACTTGCTGATTATGAGAGAGCAAAGCAGTGGCCGCACCTCTTGGATTTCTTTTGGGTTTTGAAAGCCTGTGTCTGTCATATCAGAGTAGGAGCTTTTTTAGGCCACATGGCATATTGTGTTTATCTCTGTATCCACAACATGGAGCACAGTTTCTGAATTTCAGTAGGAATTTTGTAATTCTTGGTAGTCATGTTGATTGAAAGAATTTTATAACTACAGATGCTAAATAATGACAAGATCCACGCATGGGCTACATGCTTTGTAAAAGTTACCGTTATTTGAATGCAGAATCGTTAAGATGTTGTTAGCTGCTCTTCTTCGCTCAAAGACGCATCTTCCTTAACTAAGCAAAGCTTTCTCTCTCCTCCCTTCTCTCAGGTTGCCATGGCTGCGGTTGACAGCTTCTACCTCTTGTACAGAGAAATCGCCAGGTCGTGCAATTGCTATATGGAAGCCCTAGCATTGGTCGGGGCCTGGTACACGGCCAGAAAGAGCATCACCGTCGTCTGTGACTTCTACAGCCTGGTCAGGCTGCATTTTATCCCGCGCCTGGGCAGCAGGGCAGACCTGATCAAGCAGTACGGAAGATGGGCCGTCGTCAGTGGTAACCTGACTTCCATTGAAGTCATCTTTTCTGCCTAGGCTGTATTTTAAGTTAGAGACCTTACTCCTGGAGCTGTTGAGTTCAGTGTGATATTCTCATGGGAACGTGCTGATAAAAAACAAAATCGCATGATTCCTGTTGTGGATGTGCATATGTTTTCTTACTGTCCTAGTCCGAAAAAGCACGGGCCTCAAACTTGTGCCCTCCTGGGACCAGCAGTTGGCGTAATGGCTATGTCGCTGGACTCCCATGTAGTCGACTGCGGTTCGCGTCCCAGACCCGGTGGCTTAAAACCCACACCGGGTGTGTGTGCGTGCGTGCCCAAGATCCCGAGAGGAGAATGGAGGAGAAGGGATTGCGGTGTGGCCATCCCCCCTGTGGGGTGATTTCTCGCTTTCTGTCTCACTGTCTCTCTCTGGCAAGCGTACGCGCCCTATAGCAAAAACCTCTTTAAAAACAAAACAAAACAAAACAAACAAAAGCTTGTGCCCTCCTTACCCTGCCCTCCCTGTCCCCTGGCCTCCCCTAACCCCACTGTCCTATGCTTGCTTTTCCCCTTTTTGCTTTCTGTTTTGAATCTGCCCATAGAAACTCACCACGCTCAGGAGTGTCTCTCCTATGTTAAATTTCGTTTAATTTATCAGTATTTCCCAGAAAAGCACCCCTTGGCTTTCACAGAATCCAGATGGAAGTTCGAAGACCATTTCTGACTCCTGCCTCGAATCAGCACAGGGGATGTAAATGACTCCCTATCTGCGTCAGGGTGTCTGGAAGCGTTTTCAGCTTGCATCAGTCACATTATTGATTCAGCATTGTCCTTGACCGATAAACACTAGAACTCATCTTATTTCTAGTATGAATTTTTCTGTCATTAAACCTGGTAGTGGTAATTTAAGGTCCATTTTAAATATCACACCACAAAATGAGCATGCTCATTTTTTCTGGCTTGCACTGCAGGTGCGACAGACGGGATTGGAAAAGCGTACGCTGAAGAGTTAGCAAGCCGAGGCCTCAACATCATCCTGATCAGTAGGAACGCAGAGAAGTTGCAGACTGTTGCTAAAGACATCGCCGACACTTACAAAGTGGAAACCGATGTTATCGTCGCGGACTTCAGCAGAGGCCGAGACATCTACACTCCGATCCGCGAAGCCCTGAAGGACAAGGACATTGGCATCCTGGTCAACAACGTGGGTGTGTTTTACCCCTACCCGCAGTATTTCGCTCAGGTCTCCGAGGACAGGCTCTGGGACATCGTGAACGTGAACATCGCCGCGGCCAGCCTGATGACGCACATCGTGCTCCCGGGCATGGTGGAGAGGAGGCGGGGCGCCGTCGTCACCATCTCCTCCGGCTCCTGCTGCAAGCCCACTCCCCAGCTGGCTGCGTTTTCTGCTTCGAAGGTCAGCCCTTATTTACCGGAAGATGAACTCATAGTATGGTAGAGCAGTTACTGCAGTTGTCTGGTCAGATTTGTTGAGCTTCTTGTCAGCAGCTTGTGTTTGCTTTTGTCATGTCTCTTCCTGAAGGATAATAAGGAAGTCTTTTTTTTGTTTGTTTCTTCTGAATTTTTCTTTTAGGTTTTCCCCCAAATTTAAAGTCCTATCCTCTCTTCTGTGTAACAGGCTTATTTAGACCACTTCAGCCGAGCATTGCAGTACGAATATGCTTCTAAAGGAATCTTCGTGCAGAGCCTGATCCCGTTCTATGTAGCCACCAACATGACTGTGCCTGGCAGCTTCCTGCACAGATGCCCATGGTTGGTGCCTTCGCCCAAAGTGTACGCACATCACGCCGTTTCTACCCTTGGGATTTCAAAACGGACCACAGGATACTGGTCCCATTCCATTCAGGTAGTAGCGTGTCTTCAGTTCTTGTTACTGGTTAATGCATCCTGAACCTTTCTAATTGACATGCAGGAATCCCATTGAAGCCTAATGTGGAAGGATAAGCATTGTAAATTATGATTCTAAAACCTGATACTCTTTTTTTTTTTTTTTTGAGAGATTTTTTTGGAGGAGTCCGACCCAGTGAGGCCCCAGGATCTGTCTGAGCCCCCTGACCCACCCACGCCGAGGCTGGACCCCAGCAATTTTTGCTATAGCGTGCATATACTCACTAGAGAGACAGAGACAGAGAGACAGAAAATAAGAAATGCCCACCTCCCCCCCCCCCCCGGGGAAAGGGCACGCTTGCG